GCGTGTGCAAAATTGCAAGAACAAGGGCCTAGCGTGTGCAAAATAGCAAGAACAAGGGCCTAGCAAATGCAAAATTGCAAGAACAAGGGCCTAGCGAGTGCAAAATTGCAAGAACAAGGGCCTAGCGTGTGCAAAATCGCAAGAACAAATGGCCTAGCGAGTGCAAAATTGCAAGAACAAGGGCCTAGCGAGTGCAAAATTGCAAGAACAAGGGCCTAGCGAATGCAAAATTGCAAGAACAAGGGCGTAGTGTGTGCAAAATAGCAAGAACAAGGGCCTAGCGTGTGCAAAATAGCAAGAACAAGGGCCTAGCGAGTGCAAAATTGCAAGAACAAGGGCCTAGCGTGTGCAAAATTGCAAGAACAAGGACCTAGCGTGTGCAAAATCGCAAGAACAAGAGCCTAGCGTGTGCAAAATTGCAAGAACAAGGGCGTAGCGTGTGCAAAATTGCAAGAACAAAGGCCTAGCGTGTGCAAAATTGCAAGAACAAGGGCCTAGCCTGTGCAAAATTGCAAGAACAAGGGCCTAGCAAGTGCAAAATTGCAAGAACAAGGGCCTAGCGAGTGCAAAATTGCAAGAACAAGGGCGTAGCGTGTGCAAAATCGCAAGAACAAAGGCCTAGCGTGTGCAAAATTGAAAGAACAAGGGCCTATCGTGTGCAAAATTGCAAGAACAAGGGCCTAGCGTGTGCAAAATTGCAAGAACAAGGGCCTAGCGTGTGCAAAATTGCAAGAACAAGGGCCTAGCGAGTGCAAAATTGCAAGAACAAGGGCGTAGCGTGTGCAAAATCGCAAGAACAAAGGCCTAGCGTGTGCAAAATTGCAAGAACAAGGGCCTAGCGTGTGCAAAATTGCAAGAACAAGGGCCTAGCGTGGGCAAAATCGCAAAAACAAGGGCCTAGCGAGTGCAAAATTGCAAGAACAATGGCCTAGCGTGTGCAAAATTGCAAGAACAAGGGCCTAGCGTGTGCAAAATTGCAAGAACAAGGGCCTACCGTGCGCAAAATTGCAAGAACAAGGGCCTAGCGAGTGCAAAATTGCAAGAACAAGGGCGTAGCGTGTGCAAAATCGCAAGAACAAAGGCCTAGCGTGTGCAAAATTGCGAGAACAAGGGCCTAGTGTGTGCAAAATTGCAAGAACAAGGGCCTAGCGTGTGCAAAATTGCAAGAACAAGGGCCTAGCGTGTGCAAAATTGCAAGAACAAGGGCCTACCGTGTGCAAAATTGCAAGAACAAGGGCCTAGCGAGTGCAAAATTGCAAGAACAAGGGCCTAGCGAGTGCGAAATTGCAAGAACAAGGGCGTAGCGTGTGCAAAATCGCAAGAACAAAGGCCTAGCGTGTGCAAAATTGCAAAAACAAGTGCCTAGTGTGTGCAAAATTGCAAGAACAAGGGCCTAGCGTGTGCAAAATCGCAAGAACAAGGGCCTTGCGTGTGCAAAATAGCAAGAACAAGGGCCTAGCGTGTGCAAAATTGCAAGAACAAGGGCCTAGCAAGTGCAAAATTGCAAGAACAAGGGCCTAGCGTGTGCAAAATCGCAAGAACAAGGGCCTAGCGAGTGCAAAATTGCAAGAACAATGGCCTAGCGTGTGCAAAACTGCAAGAACAAGGGCCTAGCGTGTGCAAAATTGCAAGAACAAGGGCCTACCGTATGCAAAATTGCAAGAACAAGGCCTAGCGAGTGCAAAATTGCAAGAACAAGGGCCTAGCGATTGCAAAATTGCAAGAACAAGGGCGTAGCGTGTGCAAAATCGCAAGAACAAAGGTCTAGCGTGTGCAAAATTGCGAGAACAAGGGCCTAGCGAGTGCAAAATTGCAAGAACAAGGGCCTAGCGTGTGCAAAATTGCAAGAACAAGGACCTAGCGTGTGCAAAATCGCAAGAACAAGAGCCTAGCGTGTGCAAAATTGCAAGAACAAGGGCGTAGCGTGTGCAAAATTGCAAGAACAAAGGCCTAGCGTGTGCAAAATTGCAAGAACAAGGGCCTAGCCTGTGCAAAATTGCAAGAACAAGGGCCTAGCAAGTGCAAAATTGCAAGAACAAGGGCCTAGCGAGTGCAAAATTGCAAGAACAAGGGCGTAGCGTGTGCAAAATCGCAAGAACAAAGGCCTAGCGTGTGCAAAATTGCAAGAACAAGGGCCTATCGTGTGCAAAATTGCAAGAACAAGGGCCTAGCGTGTGCAAAATTGCAAGAACAAGGGCCTAGCGTGTGCAAAATTGCAAGAACAAGGGCCTAGCGAGTGCAAAATTGCAAGAACAAGGGCGTAGCGTGTGCAAAATCGCAAGAACAAAGGCCTAGCGTGTGCAAAATTGCAAGAACAAGGGCCTAGCGTGTGCAAAATTGCAAGAACAAGGGCCTAGCGTGTGCAAAATCGCAAAAACAAGGGCCTAGCGAGTGCAAAATTGCAAGAACAATGGCCTAGCGTGTGCAAAATTGCAAGAACAAGGGCCTAGCGTGTGCAAGATTGCAAGAACAAGGGCCTACCGTGCGCAAAATTGCAAGAACAAGGGCCTAGCGAGTGCAAAATTGCAAGAACAAGGGCGTAGCGTGTGCAAAATCGCAAGAACAAAGGCCTAGCGTGTGCAAAATTGCGAGAACAAGGGCCTAGTGTGTGCAAAATTGCAAGAACAAGGGCCTAGCGTGTGCAAAATTGCAAGAACAAGGGCCTAGCGTGTGCAAAATTGCAAGAACAAGGGCCTACCGTGTGCAAAATTACAAGAACAAGGGCCTAGCGAGTGCAAAATTGCAAGAACAAGGCCTAGCGAGTGCGAAATTGCAAGAACAAGGGCGTAGCGTGTGCAAAATCGCAAGAACAAAGGCCTAGCGTGTGCAAAATTGCAAAAACAAGTGCCTAGTGTGTGCAAAATTGCAAGAACAAGGGCCTAGCGTGTGCAAAATCGCAAGAACAAGGGCCTTGCGTGTGCAAAATAGCAAGAACAAGGGCCTAGCGTGTGCAAAATTGCAAGAACAAGGGCCTAGCAAGTGCAAAATTGCAAGAACAAGGGCCTAGCGTGTGCAAAATCGCAAGAACAAGGGCCTAGCGTGTGCAAAATTGCAAGAACAATGGCCTAGCGTGTGCAAAATTGCAAGAACAAGGGCCTAGCGTGTGCAAAATTGCAAGAACAAGGGCCTACCGTATGCAAAATTGCAAGAACAAGGGCCTAGCGAGTGCAAAATTGCAAGAACAAGGGCCTAGCGATTGCAAAATTGCAAGAACAAGGGCGTAGCGTGTGCAAAATCGCAAGAACAAAGGTCTAGCGTGTGCAAAATTGCGATAACAAGGGCCTAGTGTGTGCAAAATTGCAAGAACAAGGGCCTAGCGTGTGCAAAATTGCAAGAACAAGGGCCTAGCGTGTGCAAAATTGCAAGAACAAGGGCCTACCGTGTGCAAAATTGCAAGAACAAGGGCCTAGCGAGTGCAAAATTGCAAGAACAAGGGCCTAGCGAGTGCAAAATTGCAAGAACAAGGGCGTAGCGTGTGCAAAATCGCAAGAACAAAGGCCTAGCATGTGCAAAATTGCAAGAACAAGGGCCTAGTGTGTACAAAATTGCAAGAACAAGGGCCTAGCGTGTGCAAAATCGCAAGAACAAGGGCCTAGCGTGTGCAAAATTGCAAGAACAAAGGCCTAGCGAGTGCAAAATTGCAAGAATAAGGGCCTAGTGTGTGCAAAATTGCAACAACAAGGGCCTAGCGAGTGCAAAATTGCAAGAACAAGGGCCTAGCGTGTGCAAGATTGCAAGAACAAGGGCCTAGCGAGTGCAAAATTGCAAGAACAACGGCCTAGCGTGTGCAAAATAGCAAGAACAAGGGCCTAGCGTGTGCAAAATTGCAAGAACAAGGGCCTAGCGTGTGAAAAAATTGCAAGAACAAGGACCTAGCGTGTGCAAAATCCCAAGAACAAGAGCCTAGCGTGTGCAAAATTGCAAGAACAAGGGCCTAGCATGTGCAAAATTGCAAGAACAAGGGCCTACCGTGTGCAAAATTGCAAGAACAAGGGCCTAGCGAGTGCAAAATTGCAAGAACAAGGGCCTAGCGAGTGCAAAATTGGCGCCTATCTCTAGGGGCGCCTATGTCTATGGGCGCTTATCTCTAGGGGCGCCTATCTCTAGGGCCGCATATCTCTAGGGGCGCCTATCTATAGGGGCGCCTATCTCTATGGGCGCCTATCTCCAGGGGCACCTATCTCTAGGGCCGCCTATATTAGGGGCGCCTATCTATAGGGGCGCCTATCTCTAGGGTCTCCTATCTCTATGAGCGCCTATCTCTATGGGCGCCTATCTTTAGGGGTGCCTATCTATAGGGGCGCCTATCTCTAGGGGCGCCTATCTCTAGGGGCGCCCATCTCTATGGGCGCCTATCTCTAGGGGCGCCTATCTCTATGAGCGCCTATTTCTAGGGGCGCCTCTCTCTAGTGACGCCTATCTCAAGGGGCGCCTATCTCTAGGGGCGCCTATCTCAAGGGGCGCCTACCTCTAGGGCCGCCTATCTCTAGCGGGGCCTACCTCTATGGGCGCCTACCTCTGTGGGTGCCTATCTCTAGGGGCGCCTATCTCTAGCGGCGCGAATCTTTAGGGGTGCCTTTTTCTATGGGCGCCTATCTCTATGGGTGCCTATCTCTATGGGCGCGTATCTCTATGGGTGCATATCTCTATGGGCGCCTATCTCTATGGGCGCCTATCTCTAGGGGCACCTATCTCAAGGATCGCCTATCTCTAGGGGCGCCTATCTAAAGGGGCGCCTATCTCTAGGGGCGCCTATCTCTATGGGCGCCTATCTCTATGGGCGACTTTCTCTATGGGTGCCAATCTCTATGGGCGCCTATCTCTAGGGGCGCCTATCTCTATGGGCGTCTATCTCTATGGGCGCCTATCTCTAGGGGCGCCTGTCTCTATGGGCGCCTATTCCTAGGGGCGCCTCTCTCTCGTGGCGCCTACCTCAAGGGGCGACTATCTCTAGGGGCGCCTATCTCTAGCGGCGCGTATCTTTAGGGGCGCCTATTTCTATGGGCGCCTATCTCTATGGGTGCCTATCTCTATGGGCGCGTATCTCTAAAGGTGCATATCTCTATGGGCGCCTATCTCTATGGGCGCCTATCTCTAGGGGCACCTATCTCTATGATCGCCTATCTCTAGGGGCGCCTATCTATAGGTGCGCCTATCTCTAGGGGCGCCTATCTATAGGGGCGCCTATCCCTAGGGGCTCCTATCTCTAGGGGCGCCTGTCTCTATGGGCGCCTATTTCTAGGGGCGCCTATCTATAGGGGCGCCTATCCCTAGGGGCTCCTATCTCTAGGGGCGCCTGTCTCTATGGGCGCCTATCTTTAGGGGCGCGTATCTCTAGGGCCGCCTATCTATAGGGGCGCCTATCTATAGGGGCACCTATCTCTAGGGGCGCTTATCTCTATGGGCGCCTATCTCTAGGGGCGCCTGTCTCGATGGGCGCCTATTTCTAGGGGCGCCTATCTCTAGTAACGCCTATCTCAAGGGGCGCCTATCTCTAGGGGCGCCTATCTCAAGGGACGCCTATCTCTAGGGGCGCCTATCTCTAGCAGCGCCTATCTATGGGTGCCTACCTCTGTGGGCGCCTATCTCTAGGGGTGCCTACCTCTAGCGGCGCCTTTAGGCTCGCCTATCTCTAGGGGCGCCTATCTCTATGGGCGCCTATCTCTATGGGGGCCTATCTCTATGGGCGCCTATCTCTATGGGTGCCTATCTCTAGGGGCGCCTATCTCTATGGGCGCCTAACTCCAGGGGCACCTATCTCTATGGGTGCCTATCTCTATGGGTGCCTATCTCTATTGGTGCCTATCTCTATGGGTGCCTATCTCTATTGGTGCCTATCTCTATAGGCACCTATCTCTAGGGGCGCCTATCTCTATGGGCGCCTATCTCTATGGGCGACTTTCTCTATGGGTGCCAATCTCTATGGGCGCCTATCTCTAGGGGCGCGTATCTGTATGGGCGTCTATCTCTATGGGCGCCTATCTCTAGGGGCGCCTGTCTCTATGGGCGCCTATTCCTAGGGGCGCCTCTCTCTAGTGGCGCCTACCTCAAGGGGCGACTATCTCTAGGGGCGCCTATCTCAAGGAGCGCCTATCTCTAGGGGCGCCTATCTCTAGCGGCGCCTACCTCTATAGGGGCCTACCTCTGTGGGCGTCTATCTCTAGAGGCGCCTATCTCTGGCGGCACGTATTTTTAGGGGCGCCTATCTCTAGGGGCGCCTATCTCTATGGGCGCCTATCTCTTTGGGCGCCTATCTCTATCGGCGCCTATTTCTATGGGAGCCCATCTCTAGGGTCGCCTATCTGTATGGGCACCTATCTCTAGGGGCACCTATCTCTATGGGTGCCTATCTCTATGGGCGCATATCTCTATGGGTGCCAATCTCTAGGGGCACCTATCTCTAGGGGCGCCTATCTCTATGGGCGCCTATCTCTATGGGCGCCTATCTCAATGGGTGCCTATCTCTATGGGCGCCTATCTCTAGGGGCGCTTATCTCTATGGGCGCCTATCTCTAGGGGCGCCTTTCTCTAGGGGCGCCTATCTCTAGGGGCGATATCTCTATGGGCGCTTACCTCTAGGAGTGCCTATCTCTAGGGGTGCTTATCTCTATAGGGATAGGCGCCCATAGAGATAGGCGCCCATGGAGACAGGCGCCCCTAGAGAGAGGCGCCCATAGAGGTAGGCGCCCCTAGAGAGAGGCGCCTATCTCTATGGGCGCCTATCTCTAGGGGCGCCTGTTTCTATGGGCGCCTATCTCTAAGGGCGCCTATCTCTAGTGGCGCCTATCTCTAGGGGCGCCTATCTCTAGGGGCGCCTATCTCTAGGGGCGCCTATCTCTTTGGGGGCACATCTCTAGGGGCGCCTATCTCTAGGGGCGCCTATCTCTAGGGGCGCCTATCTCTAGGGGCGCCTATCTCTAAGGGCGCCTATCTCTAGGGGCGCCTATCTCTAGGGGTGCCTATCTCTAGGGGCTCCTATCTCTAGGGGCGCCTATCTCTAGGGGCGCCTATCTCTATGGGCGCCTCTCTCTAGGGGCGCCTATCTCTATGGGCTCTTCTCTCTTGGGGCGCCTGTCTTTATGGGCGCCTATCTCTATGGGCGCCTGTCTCTGTGGGCGCCTATCTCTATGGCCGCCTATCTCTATGGGCGCCTATCTCCAGGGGCGCCTATCTCTACGAGCACCTATCTCTAGGAGCGCCTCTCTCTATGGGCGCCTATCTCTAGGGGCGCCTATCTCTATGGGCGCCTTTCTCTAGGGGCACCTATCTCTAGGGGCGATATCTCTATGGCCGCCTATCTCTAGGGGCGCCTGTCTCTATGGGCGCCTATCTCTATGGGCGCCTATCTCTATGGGCGCCTATCTCTATGGGCGCCTATCTCTATAGGTGCCTATCTCTATGGGCGCCTATCTCTAGGGGCGCCTAGCTCTAGGGGCGCTTATCTCTAGGAGCGCCTCTCTCTATGGGCGCCTATCTCTAGGGGCGCCTATCTCTATGGGCGCCTTTCTCTAGGGGCGCCTATCTCTATGGGCGCCTATCTCTAGGGGCGCCTATCTCTAGGGGCGCCTATCTCTAGGAGCGCCTCTCTCTATGGGCGCCTATCTCTAGGGGCGCCTATCTCTATGGGCGCCTATCTCTAGGGGCGCCTTTCTCTAGGGGCGCCTATCTCTAGGGGCGATATCTCTATGGGCGCCTATCTCTAGGAGTGCCTATCTCTAGGGGTGCTTATCTCTATAGGGATAGGCGCCCATAGAGATAGGCGCCCATGGAGACCAGCGCCCCTAGAGAGAGGCGCCCATAGAGGTAGGCGCCCCTAGAGAGAGGCACCTATCTCTATGGGCGCCTATCTCTAGGGGCGCCTGTTTCTATGGGCGCCTATCTCCAGGGGCGCCTATCTCTAGTGGCGCCTATCTCTAGGGGCGCCTATCTCTAGGGGCGCCTATCTCTAGGGGCGCCTATCTCTATGGGGGCACATCTCTAAGGGCGCCTATCTCTAGGGGCGCCTATCTCTAGGGGCGCCTATCTCTAGAAGCGCCTATCTCTAGCGGCGCCTATCTCTAGGGGAGCCTATCTCTATGGACGCCTCTCTCTAGGGGCGCCTATCTCTATCGGTGCCTCTCTCTAGGGGCGCCTGTCTCTATGGGCGCCTATCTCTATGGGCGCCTATCTCTATGGGCGCCTATCTCTATGGGCGCCCATCTCTACTGGCGCCTATCTCTACTGGCGCCTATCTCTAGGGGCACCTATCTCTAGGGGCGCCTATCTCTAGGGGCGCCTATCTCTATGGGCGCCTATCTCTAGGTGCACCTATTTCTTGGGGCGCCTATCTCTATGGGCGCCTATCTCTAGGGGCGACTATCTTTAGGGGCGCCTATCTCTAAGGGCGCCTATCTCTTTGAGCGCCTCTCTCTAGGGGCGCCTGTCTCTATGGGCTCCTATCTCTATGGGCGCCTATCTCTATGGGCGCCTATCTCTATGGGCGGCTATCTCTATGAGCGCCTATCTCTAGGGACGCCTATCTCTATGGGCGCCTATCTCTAGGTGCGCCTATCTCTAGGGGCCCCTAGAGATAGGCGCCCCTAGAGATAGGCGCCCCTAGAGATAGGCGTCCCTAGAGATAGGCGCTCATAGAGATAGCCGCCCATAGAGATAGGCGCCCATAGAGATAGGCGCCCATAGAGATAGGAGCCCATAGAGACAGGCGCCCCTAGAGATAGGTGCCCATAGAGACAGGCGCCCCTAGAGAGAGGCGCTCAAAGAGATAGGCGCCCTTAGAGATAGGCGCCCCTAAAGATAGTCGCCCCTAGAGATAGGCGCCCATAGAGATAGGCGCCCCAAGAAATAGGTGCACCTAGAGATAGGCGCCCATAGAGATAGGCGCCCCTAGAGATAGGCGCCCCTAGAGATAGGTGCCCCTAGAGATAGGCGCCCCTAGAGATAGGCGCCCTTAGAGATAGGCGCCCCTAGAGATAGGCGCCCCTAGAGATAGGTGCCCCTAGAGATAGGCGCCCCTAGAGATAGGCGCCCATAGAGATATGCGCCCATAGAGATAGGCGCCCCTAGAGATAGGCCCCCATAGAGATATCGCCCCTAGAGATAGGCGCCCCTAGAGAAAGGCGCCCCTAGAGATAGGCGCCCCTAGAGATAGGCGCCCCTAGAGATAGGCGCCCAAAGAGATAGGCGCTCCTGGAGATAGGCGCCCCTAGAGATAGGCGCCCCTAAAGATAGGCGCCCATAGAGATAGGCGCCCCTAGAGATAGGCGCCCATAGAGAGAGGCGAAACTTGAGATAGGCGCCCATAGAGAGAGGCGCTCCTAGAGATAGGCGCCCCTAGAGATAGGCACCCTTAGAGATAGGCACCCATAGAGATATCGCCCCTAGAGATAGGCGCCCCTAGAGAAAGGCACCCTCAGAGATAGGCACCCATTGAGAGAGGCGCTCCTAGAGATAGGCGCCCCTAGAGATAGGCGCATCTAGAGATAGGCGCCCATAGAGATACGCGCCCAAAGAGATAGGCGCCCATAGAGATAGGCGCCCCTAGAGATAGGCGCCCTTAGAGATAGGCGCCCCTAGAGATAGGCGCCCCTAGAGATAGGGGCCCCTAGAGATAGGCGCCCATAGAGATAGGCGCCCCTAGAGATAGGCGCCCCTAGAGATAGGCGCCCCTAAAGATACGCGCCCCTTGAGACAGGCGCCCATAGAGATAGGAGTCCATAGAGATAGGCGCCCCTAGAGATAGGCGCCCCTAGAGATAGGCGCCCCTAGAGATAGGCGCCCCTAGATATAGGCGCCCATAGAGATTGGCGCCGCTAGAGATAGGCGCCCCTAGAGATAGGCGGCCCGAGAGATAGGGCCCTTAGAGATAGGCGCCCCTAGAGATAGGCGCCCATAGAGATAGGCGCCCCTAGAGATAGGCGCCCCTTGAGATAGGCGCCCATAGAGATAGGCGCCCCTAGAGATAGGCGCCCATAGAGATAGGCGCACCAAAAGAGAGGCGCCCCTAGAGATAGGTGCCCATAGAGATAGGCGCCCCTAGAGATAGGCGCCCGTATAGATAGGCGCCCCTAGGGATAGGCGCCCCTAGAGATAGGCGCCCCTAGAGATAGGCGCCCATAGAGATAGGCGCCCATAGAGATAGGCGCCCCTAGAGATCGGCGCCCCTAGAGATAGGCGGCCTTAGAGATAGGCGCCCCTAGAGATAGGCGCCCATAGAGATAGGCGCCCCTAGAGATTGGCGCCCCTAGAGATAGGCTCCCCTAAAGATACACGCCCCTAGAGACAGGCGCCCATAGAGATAGGAGCCCCTAGAGATAGGCGCCCCTAGAGATAGGCGCCCCTAGAGATATGCGCCCCTAGAGATAGGCGCACCTAGAGATATGCGCCCATAGAGATAGGCGTCCCTAGAGATAGGCGCTCATAGAGATAGGCGCCCATAGAGATAGGCGCCCCTAGAGATAGGCGCCCCTAGAGATAGGCGCCCCTAGAGATAGGCGCCCCTAGAGATAGGCGCCCCTAGAGATAGGGGCCCCTAGAGATAGGCGCTCTTAGAGATAGGCGCCTCTATAGATAGGCGAACCTATAGATAGGCGCCCCTAGAGATAGGCGCCCCTAGAGATAGGCGCTCCTAGAGATTAGCGCCCCTAGAGATATGTGCCTGTAGATATATGAGCCCCTAGAGATAGGCGCCCATAGAGATATGCGCCCATAGAGATAGGCGCCCCTAGAGATAGGCCCCCATAGAGATATCGCCCCTAGAGATAGGCGCCCCTAGAGAAAGGCGCCCCTAGAGATAGGCGCCCCTAGAGATAGGCGCCCCTAGAGATAGGCGCCCAAAGAGATAGGCGCTCCTAGAGATAGGCGCCCCTAGAGATAGGCGCCCCTAAAGATAGGCGCCCATAGAGATAGGCGCCCCTAGAGATAGGCGCCCATAGAGAGAGGCGAAACTTGAGATAGGCGCCCATAGAGAGAGGCGCTCCTAGAGATAGGCGCCCCTAGAGATAGGCACCCTTAGAGATAGGCA